GCTTATTTGATGGAACTGGGCAGACGCTCACTCTAAAGTGAACTATTGGCGAATTCATGCAGTGATCCGCCAGGGAGAAGGGCACGGATGTGCATAAAAAGCACGTACATACAAATGTCATACCTCGTTATATAACTTTATGATAGAATTAAATTCATTAGCAAACCACTCCTGCCTAATGCCTTTTTTAAACTTATGGATGCTTGTGGAAACATTCGTATTTCTCGAATAACGATAGTCTTTGCATTTTCGCTGTACCTCCTTTGTTTCAATTAATTTTAACCCGCGCCCCACTGGGGGGGGGGGGGGCTATTCATAGCCCCTCCCGTTTTTCTGCAATAACTTCTAAACTGCTTAACGTATCGCCGCCAAACTTACAGTATCTTCGGCTGAATCACTTTAACACCTTGTGTCAAAATTTAAACTTCGTATCTATCATAGGTCGTCCAGAAATGACGTCAGAGTGACGTCATGTTCGGCCGATTTCGACGCAAAACATTGAACCACGGGAATCGCTCCCAAGAGCTCATTTTTTAGCTAGATCCAACTTTTTTGCATGAGAGGGCTTAAAATGGCCTGCGCTATCAAAATGTTATCTCGAATTGCCAAAATTTTGAAAATTTTAAAATTATATATATTAAAATTCAAAATTTGTATTTTTATCTTTTTTCAAAACTTTTTGACTTTTCGAACTAACCGGAATATATAAGATAGAACACATGCTTATGACTTACTCTAGCGAGTTTTAGCCAGATATCTTTAAAAATGGCCAAGTTATACGCATTATAGCAAAAATTTCACAATTTCAATTTTTCAAATCAATTTTTCTGTACGAATTTGACATCGTACACAAATATAAATAGCACCATAGTGTTCAAAAGCTCAAACTGCATCCGATAGACACGTTTTTTGTTGAAAAATTTCAACTTTGAAATTTGACCTTTTTTTACCTGAAAGTGACCTTACCTCAGCGACATTCAGATGAAAATGGCCTCAAATGACACAGGCGACACCGAATTCGAAATCTATGGCCTAAATGAACCATAAAACATGTGTCACGTGACCGACTTATGACGTAAGATTTCCGTGACCTATGATGACCTGACCCTGACCTGAAAATCAAATTACAAGTTTCGTACCCTCAGGGTATCTAAAGCATCTGCTCACGAGTGTGTAAACAAAAAATCAGCCTGATCTGACATGTAAGACGGCAGCCAGAGCCCAAAAAGTGAACAAGCCAAATATCGATAATTTTTACTTTGACCTGACCTGTGACGTCATCGGTGACCTCGAGGTCAATGAAATTAGGTTTCTTTCGACAGTTTTTCTTGGGCTATCAGATGCCGTTTGAATTTTGACGATCGGCCCAGTAGTTTCGGAGTTAGGAAGGGGGCTATGAATAGCCCCCCTCCCCCCCCCAGTGAGGCGTGTTATACACAGACCCCAGTGGGGCGCGGGTTAATCACAATGCTATATATGCAATATAAGTGCACCCATCAGCAAGAAAAATATGTTGCATTTTGATAGCTCAGGGCTCAAAGCCCTGAGTCGTCCAAGGTACGGTAATTCCCAACATAATTTGGCATTCTGACAGTAGGGTAGCCTGGGGCAAGACGCCCCAGATAATTTATTTTGCTACATAACTTTTGTCCCACATCACCTGGAAAGCCAAATTTGTGCTCAATGCGTTCTTTGGACATTTTACTTTAAAGTCCACCCCTCAAACTCATTCACTAATGATCGGACTCACAGCTAGGAAGTGATTTGTGAAGCAACTGCAAATGGGGCATTTTGCCCCAACCCCAGGGCAAAACGCCCCACGGCCTGGGGCAAGAAGCCCCATACTCTAGATTAAAGATTATACATGCTAGTTGACTAAATCTTATATGAGAGGCCCGTTAGACCTTGGGAGGCACGGCACTGAAGTTAGCACCTTCCATCCTGTCAGGTGTTCAGCTATGGCACTATTGAATGTACAGGTTTTTCACCTGCCTCATAAGGCCAAATAATAAATTATTGCAATGCAAATGTTAACAAAATACTTCCTTTGCCATTAATTTGCTGAGAAAAGTACATAAAATTGCATAGAAACTTACTGTTCGCCAGCTACCGAACATTAGGAAGTGGGTAGTCGGAACAACACATGAGGTAAAACGCCCCATGGGGCTTTTTGCCCCGCGACCTACTGGGGCGTTTTACCCCATCACGTAGTTCGATCAGAGAACAACGCCTTGCACTCTAGCAAGACATAACTTAAAACGGACCAACCCAGCATTATAAGCATTAGACAATAGTTGTTCAAAATCCTAAAAGTCGTTAACCTGATGTGGACCATAAAAGAACGCCATGATGCATAATCTGACTACAAAACATAAAAATCACTCCAAAAACAAATTTTTGGCTAGATCTCCCTAAAGACTTATCAAAATTTCTTTCCAGTCTGCTCATATAATGATCATATAGTGCACGTTTTATAGAAGAGAGAATGTTTCTCCAGAACCTTGCCAGTTCCGAGAAACATCGGTGAGGCGTTTTACCTCGGCGGGGCGACTTGCCCCGGTCTACCCTACCTGGCAGTCGCCACTTTCCACAACTAAAAGTTGCTAATATTGCTTATTCATTGTTTCCAAAACAAACTAATCTCTTCCACTCACATGATAAGCTCTTTCTACACATTGCATGTAAAGAGACGGCATAGAGGTTACCTTTGATACCAAATCTGAAATCCAATACCGTGATTAATCAATGTCACAACCCAACACGGGGTGCCGTTTTAGGAGCTGAGCCCGTTAGTCTCCTTTGAAGATCGGTCACTCCCTACAGGCTGGGGTGCTTTCCTGGAAGGTGGGTGGGGCTGCACAATGGTGGACTGCCCCAGTGCCGACACGTGCCTGACACAACACCTGTCGCTGGCTGATGGCGGGAGCTCACTGTACTGATTGATGGAGGGGGGAATCGGCGCGGGAGAGCGCGGTTATGACGGTGAACAAAAGGGTAGCCTTACAATACACCTAGTCAACAATCAGCATTGGGATGGAAAGCACCGGACAATATCGTTTTCCCTCACTCAGTCCGCCGTTTTCGCGGGTAAGGGACAAAGGAAGCTCCGCCGTTCATTGGTGCTAGTGTGTCATGCGCTACTGCAGTTACCAGTGAGTCTGATCTGGTGTTAGTCTTATGTGCGCTGATGCACTCACCGGGCAATGAGGTCTGATACAGTGGTAGTGTTGTGTGTTCTACTGCAGTCACCAGTGAGTCTGATCTGGTGGTAGTCTTACGAGTACGTGTTCTACTGCGGTCGCCACACAGTTCAGGTCTGACCTGGTGGTAGTCTTATATATGCTACTACAGTTGCCGCGGCTATGATGATTCCATGCCAGAGTTGCGGACCGTCAGGTCGCAATGGGGCTTTTTTTGCACCATCTTTATGAAATTGGTAATTATGTATATGGTTTGACGTTCTACTTTATCGCCCATTGTATCACTGTGACCTTTGAGAACTAGTCTTTTATTCGCTAATAAGGAACGTTTTCCTCTGCGACCAAAATTAGCGATCCTATTGTTCGTATTAGCGTCTGCCCGATGTTCAGCGTCTTTTTTTGCTGAGTATGGTCGGGGGTAATAGCTTGAGAGATGTTATTTACCACCAAAGTTGGTTATTTGTAAGGCACCATAACAACAGTACGCGATGTGGAGTGGTCCAACTGGTTTCCCGGCACGCGGCCGTGAGTCAGTCCATCCCCGCTATCTTCTGTGTGTATTTCAGTACTGACAACATTCTCAGAGGCATGCAACTCCTAACGGATACGCGTGTCTCTTCAATGGGTATTGGCGGACACGTAACGGCAGCGGTGGCCGGGAGGCGTGCTGATATAAAATGAGCCACATTGTGACGGACAGTCGGTACCAGACACAAATACCAGCGAAATAAACATTAGCTCTGACTATGAGGTTTTGTATGTAACATGCCCGTGTAAATAGTGTCCATTATACTTATAGAGACAATGAGCATACGTTACCTGTTCATACACTATTGTGGAACAATTTGTAATCGTATCTTCTACTTTTACCATGCAGCTGGGCGCTGGCTAAACATAGCTTATGATGCAAAGCTGAACTGGTCCTGAACTGCTGTTTAATCCTGACTTATGCCTGCTTGTTGAAATAAACTATTTGGTTTTAAAGTTCTTCTGCAACTCAGAGACATCGAAATTGTGTAGGGAATCGGGAGAGAGACATGGGGAGAGAACTGGTGGCTACCCACGCAGTTGGCACGCAGGTGGCTCGCATCTGAGTATCGTCGGCGCTCGGCTCGGTGCGGCTAGGTCGTCCGCCGAGGTACCCAGACAACGTCGCGTGCTCGGGGTCACGAGCGGGTGACCCGGCCGCGCGGGACCCGCTCCACCGGTCTGACCCGCACGGAAAGGCTGAAGTCACGCCACGGAGACCGCCGTCAGCTGACGGCACGGGACAACCAGTTCCGACGGCGCGGCGTCGGGCGGTATATATCTGGGGCTGCTGTGGACCTGTTCTGGTGGTGCTTACGCATCAGTCGATTGTTTTCATGAAGTGGTCGATTGTTCGCTGAGTAGGTAGGTATTTCTGGTGGCTGTGCTTATGGTGAAAGGAAAGTGTTCGAAAAGAAACGGGAAACCCCAACAGCAGATAAATGCGTCAATTCTGATGAGAGCTATCAATCAATCGACTCAAGGACCTTTGATGAGTGAAGTGAAAATTATTCTTTTTTGCCAGAATCTTTGCTATTGGTTTTTATGACGCAGCCTTCCAAAAGACATAGCGACTATACATGCAAAACGTCAATGTCATCGGCAGAATGACTTGCCAGTCAGCTGAAGGATGTTTTCCTCCACTTGATGGTGCGTTTGGAGGACTCTGTGTTTTGCTTCTTCCATAAAACACGTGAAACTGCATCTTCCGCGTGTTTGTATCAGCCACGCACTGCGCATGAGTCAACAAGTCACAGAACACACGCAGCCATTATGGATGGCGTGACTGACGTCATCAGGGATGACAGCGCAGCCACCACTACCTACTCGTCCAAAGTCCAGCTATCGACAGCGCGGGGCCCTCCCGGTTACCGGCCGAGCCCGCGGCGGGTGGCCGGGAGCCCCTGGTGAGCAGCTCCCGGCAGTCGAGGTACCCCCGGCGGGCGCGTGCCCCTGTGACGCTCTGACAAAAGCAGTTGACTGCCAAGGCCGTCGGGCGTCCCGGAACTCGGCGCAAGTGCCGCTGATCGGTGGGCCGCGACCGATGCATGCCCCCGGACACTGCCGGGGTAGGTGAGGTCGAGAGGTTTAAACGGCGAGATTTACGGGGCGTGACAGATTGCTGACATTGCGGGCGGCTGAAAGGGCGCACTCATTGTGACGGGAGTGCACGCAGGACGTGATTACAGTATGCAGTCAATGTCACAGGCATGCGCTGTTGGGGTGTGCCCTGCATTCCGGAAGCTCTCAGCCTGTCGATTAGCAAATATGTTGTTAGTGAGAAAAATGGGTGGGCTTGTATCTACTGGCATTGTAAAACTCTGAACACTTCTCACGGTTCGTCGGAAGGTCATCTCAGGCTCAAAAGAAACGATATATACCATTCGAAAGCTGACGGTGAGCTGAATCCAAAAATGTAATTTTTATCAAAATCGATCGATGGCCTGTTTTGAAAATTGCGTTTTTGTAAAAACTTCATAAGCTTTTATTCAACGGGTTATCCCGGACATTCTTGAAAACATAAACATGTATTTTTGAGTTCCAGTGAAAGCTGAACGCCAAAAGAACAATATTTAGCGAAGCAATATTTCCAAACATTAATATGCGTCTCCCACAGCCGACAATAAGGCGCAATCACACAGTTCAGTGTCACGATGGACCAAAGTCAGCCACACAAGCGTGAAATGACCCTTATCGACTCGCAGACCCGGCGCTCTCGGCCCGCCTGACCGGCCACGGAATGAACGTTCGGCTCTCGTTCTACTAAACAAATGTCATATTTGTCAGTTTAACTGTCCACATCGCTATCAAAGTTATTCAGGATACCTGTGAAGAAAATTCATTGCTCTGTCATCTTCACATCATGCATTAATTTGCATTTGTTCATGTCTACTTTGCTCAATTGAGCTTGGTATCATGCCCATATAAGGAAAATTGGCCGCGCTGAAATGTCAGAGGTTGCAACGGCCTCAGCTCGGGTGGAGTAGGGGTAGCGCCCGGCGGGGCAGGGTAACCTTTGACCGGTCGCACGGCCGAGCAGCTGTCACCAGTACAGCCTCTGACAGTGAAACCCCGCTCACTTCCCCTGCGCGGGCACTGATCGCAGCTGGATGGAACAAAACATGCATAAGAAAAATGTAAATTAAAGCATGTTGCAAATCAAGCAGAACAATGAATTTTCTTCACAGGTATCCTGAATAACTTTAATAGCGATGTGGACAGTTAAAGTGACAAATATGACATTTGTTTAGTAGAACGAGAGCCGAACGTACTTCCCGTGGCCGGTTAGGCGGGCCGAGAGCGCCGGGTCTGCGAGTCGATAAGGGTCATTTCACGCTTCTGTGTGGCTGACTTTGGTCCATCGTGACACTGAGCTGTGTGATTGCGCCTTATTGTCGGCTGTGGGAGACGCATATGCATGTTCGGAAATATTGCTTCGCTAAATATTGTTCTTTTGGCGTTCAGCTTTCACTGGAACTCAAAAATACGTGTTTATGTTTTCAAGAATGTCCGGGACAGCCCGTTGAATAAAAGATTATTAAGTTTTTACAAAAACGCAATTTTCAAAAAAGGCCATCGATCGATTTTGATAAAAAATACATTTTTGGATTCAGCTCACCGTCAGCTTTCGAATCGTATATACCGTTTCTTTTGAGCCTGAGATGACCTTCCGACGAACCGTGTTCTATGATGTAGGTAATGTATATTGATATCCTCAGGCAAAAATTAATGAGACCTTTATATTACTTACATATACAGTATACACCTATCAAAACATTGCATGAATGCCGTAGAAAGGCATGTTTTTTTATTTATAGGAAACATTATCAATATTATTTTTGCTTGAAACCTCATAGTTCATCTTTGCATTTAACTTAAAACAAATCTTTTTTCGTTGAATATTTTGTCGCTTGCTTTTGCACCTCACCTTCCATTAGCTAAAGGGGTACAAAACATTTGGGAACTAGCATTCGAATAGAAAATCGTAAATGCAAAAATACTCCTAGACCTCTGCCACGCTCTTTAGCTACTGCTGAATATGATGACTCGGCCCTCCCCCGGCAGGCCGGTCTCATGGGGCGTCGGAGACCCAATCGCCGTCCCGACCCGTTCAGTGCCATCGGTTGGCGCCTCTAAACCCAATGACCACCCCGACCCGTTGGCCGTTCAGTGCCATCGGTCTGCGCCTCTGCGCCGATCGGCGGCGCTTTTTGTCGCCGTTGTGTCACTCCGTCCGTCCATTAGGGCTGGTCTGGTCTCTGGGAGCCGCGGGATCAAGGACAGGGGAAAAGTAGGCCGAACGAACGGACCTCCGTCTCAGAAGTGAGAGATCAGCCCGTATCGGCGGGGTCGCCGCCACTATATCGGCGACTTATGGAAGCAAAGCGGCGCGAGGGATCCCATTATGCACTTACTGCGCATAGGATGTCACGCTGTCGACTCAAATGCATACGCATTACGGTCACATATAACATAAGGGCCTACCGGCTACATAGGTTCAAGGCGCACTTTCAATTGGCTAGGTCAATAATTCCCATCGAGATGTGTGTCAATCTAAGCACTTTAATGAGAATGCGAAACACGTTCACTTGTCCCTATGAGTTTCCCGCCAGTCCAGTTTTATAAAATGAAAGGTAAAATGAAAGGTGAAGGTATGCGGTGTTTTATATATGCATGAGTGCTGGTTGACTGTCTTGGCGAGTGATTTTACATCTCATTCATTTTATTTTTATCTCATGTGTTATGCATTGTAATTGGCTTCGGGTGCGTAAAAACCATCTTATACCTAGTGGATGTGCCTCCAAATATATTACGATTACGAGTCCACCAACCCAGTCCGACCTTTGAGCCCTCCCTGACACCTGTCTGCGTTCGTCGGCAGCTGGTGCTAGTTACGGAAGCTGCCGACAGGTGGCAGGAGCGGCGCTCGATAGCCCGGGGGCCCGGGGCGATGCTCCTGGCCGGCCGGCGGCAGGTGCGTTTCCCTGGAGCAGCGGCCGGCGCGCGCAGTGCCCGGTGTCAGTGGACTGCGTGCCGTGCTGGGGAGACGGGGTGTCGGGCCGCACGTGTTGCGTGTCAGTGCGGGTGTCAGAGTGTCAGACTGTGTCTACTGACCGGTGTACCGGCCAGACCAGCCCGTGATCGGGCCGCGCCGCCCCAGCTCGGACAGTATGCCCTCCTACAGCTACAATATCAGCGTGAGTGCGTCTGTTTTTGTCCGGCGCGGTGGGAGGGGACAGCCGAGGGGAGGTGGGCGGCCTTGGCGGGACGCGCGCGCCCTTTGGGTCGGCTCGGCCCGGGGTGAGGGTAGGTGGAGGGCGGCCGCTGTGACCCACATACCTCCTCGGTGGGCTGCCTGAGACGGTCATCGAGAGAGATACAAACACCAGCCACCTGGCGTGGTGCCCCTGATAGTTATTAGGTCTGGCAGGGCTAGACAAACAAAAGTTATTTTGGGTTAATTATACGAAACTGACGTACCTACTCAATCATCAATAATAATTTTGAAACCTAGTTATGAAGAGCATGCCATATTTCAGAGGAACCTGACACTGATCACCACGCTCTATGCACCCACTCCACTCGTTTGGAGATAGGGAGCTGAATATTCACGTGTGACGCTCGGGACGGAATTCTGTTCACGATCATTTGCCCCATCGCAACCGACCATCCGCGGGAAATCACGTGTGATGTGAGCGCTTTCATGCGAATCGTATATCGATAGTGACAAATAAAAGATACTCGTATGCATTTGCAAGGGCCATGTTCTAATACTCGAAGGGAGCTCCAGACCGTGCCACCCACATGCATACCTATAAGAAGCTTCTATGAAATGGCGTTCGAGCATACCTACTTTAACGATGTAATTAACCCGCGCCCGGCTGGGGGTCCTGGATTTCCACGCCCTGCTGGGGGGGGGGGTGTTTGAACACCCCCCTTGTAACTCGGCTCCTGGGCAACGTAGCGATACGCGGAAGGCGGCGTTCGAAAGAGCGTCAAAAATAATGACGAAATCACTTCGGTCAATTTTTTGGTCAGGTCAAAGGTCAGGTCACCAGAGGTCATTGAAGGCAAAATTTCGCCGATTTCCAGGTCAAATGTCGAAAATTTCCCAGAAGCCAACGCATAACTCGGGAACCAATAAAGCTACAGCGCCGCGGAAAAGCGCATTCGATAGCCCTATTAACGCCCTTTCTGAGTAATTCCCTCAGATTGACCTAACGTCAACGGTTTTGCCTGCAGGGGGCAAAAACTACAAAAATAGCCGATTTTTTCGGAAACAGTTTTTCTTCAATAACTTTTGATCCAATCCAAGCCTTGTACGAGCGTACTTTTACCGGCGTCGTGTTCCTCTCGTCAAGACGCATCGAATGAACTATAACTTGACCTTGAAAGGTCAACTTGAAAATTTGACCTCAGGTCAAGGTCATGACCTGACCGGACAGGGTCATGCTGCATATCAGTCGATCCGTATCGTCGAGCTGAACACATCTAAGGCGTTTTCATCGCTCTAGCATGCCTCTATCAAAAGTTATTTACGAAAAACTGTTAGATAGGGGAGAGTGGGGAAAGATGCCCAGGTTTTACTTTGTCATATATTATTCGAAAATGACGATCGGAAAGCAAAAACTTGGAGTTTCAACGGAAGCCGACATCATTTTTCTCCAAAAATATCACACTTTCGTGCATGAAATATGATAACTTTTTTTGCTATTAAGCATTTTCCTGAAGAAGTGAAAGGGGGCATCTTACCCCACAGGGTGGGAAAGACGCCCCCTGGCGTTGGGGAAGATGCCCCCTGCACTATAAGTGGCATAAATGGGCACGTGAATCGCCTGAACGAATCAGTAGTCCCTTCGAGACTGCAGTAGACACCAAACGTCATCGTAAGGGCCCTCAAAAGTAGTCGTAAGGGGCTTCAGAGGTCATCGTTAGGGCCATCATAGTCCAGCGCGGCCAAACAAGCCTCCGTGGTGGCGTTCGGAGACCACTGTGGGGCCCTTATAGGTCTTCATGATGCTTGAGGGCCCTCGAGCCCATCGTGGGGACCTCAGATGCCAGCGCGGGCCCGTGGAGCCAACGTGGGAGCCCTCAAAGGATGTCGTGAGGGGCCCTGGAGCCAATAATGGGGCCCACAGAGGCCGTCGTGAGGGCTCTCAGTCAGATGCCGCCCAAAAAGTCGCTGTGTGTGCCGAGAGACCGGCATGGGGAGCACCCAACCGTACTGGACTCTCAATAGTCCCAGATCGGCTTTTGTCTCTCATCACAAGTTTGTAATAAATGATTTGACGGGCTGCTTGAAGGACAGTCTACGGATTTAGGGGGGCGTCTTTCCCCATCAGGTCAGGGGGCATCTTACCCCAAGGTACCGAAGCAACATTAAATCAGTACAATTTGTTAGCCATAAAACTACACTCTGAAACAAACTGTTCAGGACACAGTACACGCATGTTAATGTATCACGACTATAGCAAGGGACTCAAAAATTATCTACCTTCTTTGATATTTACAATGTTTTGACACCAAAATATTTTTGAAAGCAGCAAATAAAAAACATGCAATCACCAGCCAGCCGTTGCCCACTGAGCTTCGCAAATTTTTGTGCAGTTAACAAGGCAGGCTTCCGCTTTACGCTAAGAACATTAATTTCCAGGTTCGATTCTTTGTTTCGCCGCTAGAGGGGGTGGGGCGTCTTTCCCACCCTGGGCATCTTACCCCCTCTCCCCTACCATTCGTGATTTAGATGACCTCAGGGCATAAACAAGGGTCACGGACACCATTTTCATGTTTTGTGTGTCTAAACAACTTGTAATTCGGTGTTTTGGAGTGTTTATAATGTCTTTCGTCCAAAAGAGGCGCATTTCAATTTTCTCCCATTGACTTATAATGGGGAGGTCGCAAAATTGACCTGGCCTTAGGTCATCGATATCAAAATTCTGAGATAAACATTTGTACATGCTATTGCTCTTAGCAATCACTGAAAGTTTCAAAGCGATCGGTCACTCGGTGTAGCTATGACAGACATTGAAACTTTTTATGAGGTGAGGTCACTTCAAGTGACCTGGTGACCTGACCTTGAATGACCTTGGTCTGAAATTTTCACAACATATGTAGAATTGATGTATGATAAGGTGTACCAAAACGGCGGCGCTGAGCGCCGCCGTTTTTTAGATATTCGCGAAAAACCACAAGGGGGGGGTGTTCAAACCCCCCCCCCCCAGCAGGGCGCGGGTTAACAGTGTTTATAATAGGATTAACAATCTTCGTCAGCACTTAGCCAACATCGGGCTCCATAGGTATATTCGACACATTAATTGCCCTAAAATTTAAATCACACGACAGTTCCGCATGTTCCTCAATGAGTCCCTTCCAACGTCGCCTTGCGAGCTTCAGTTCGATGCTTGGTAATCTAGTTTGGAGATAATATCAGTGGGTAGAGTTGGGGGTAATTGTCCCTCCTCCTTAGTCAATGGCGTTCGGCTGGAGGCTGAGTCAAGAACGGATAAGCGTCGGATGATCGAGTCTTTTCAAAAAGCAGTGGAGGGCCCATTTATGATAGCTGTGTATAAGCTATAAGTGCTTTGCTTTGCTTCATATTTTCAAACTTGAACGGTTCAACTTTCCCACATCTTTGTCTCGACTTTTGTGGATAAGATCGCACATCTCAGCTACCTACACATTTGGATGTCATGTTGTGGTCTATTTCAACTTTGACATCTTTTAACTTTTTATTTCATGGCAGAATTCGAGAAACGTCGACTTGAGTTATTTTCTGGGATATCCCAGTGTTTCGCCCTTTTCGTCCGACTACAATATAAACATACTAGAAAGCGCTTTATGTCATCAAGCGTAGTCATGAATATGAGAAACTCACTCTCAGCGATTATTTACGCTAGGCGATCACTGTCTGAAAGGCAAAACACAAAGGAGAAAGGGAAATGTGAAATGAATGACGCCGTTTCTGACTTCAAAAACTTGACCTTTCCGAAATCACACCTCGGTCAGACTGAGGGACACGATTCGCGCGCCGTTACAGCCCCGTGCACAGAGCACCATCCCAAGCTACCGCAGTCGCTTACACAATTCGCTCGTAAACAGCATGTAAGCTTGCGCCTTGAGCACCTTGTCCAGAGTCACCTCTGTGACGTGCGTGTCACTCACGTAAAACCACCGCCCGGCCTCCGGCTGCGGCTCCGGCTCCGTCTCGGGCTCCGGGGCGGGCTGTTTTTGATCCGTCTGTGACTCCTGCGGCGCGGCGGCGGGGTCCTCGCCCTCCCCGTCTTCCCGGCCCTCCTCTGCGGGCCTGACCGGGGACGGTCCGTCCGTGGTCTCCGGTCGGGTCTGCTCGGCGCGCTGCTGCGTTTCTGACTATCCCGTGGCTAAGTTGACACCACGTTCTAGGCTGTGTTTTTGTTTAACCTGCGCGGGCTGGGGTCTCCAGCCGAACGCGCGGGGCTGGGGGGGGGTAAATTTTACCCCCCCACCTGTTATCTCCCGAACTAATGGTCCGATTTGGAAAAATCAAACGCCAATCGAAAGATCTCATCACGAACTACTAAAAACATGTACTTAATTTAAAGTTTGAGGTCAAGGTCAAGGTCAGGTCAAGGGTACAAATTGCAAGTTTCTACAGTATCGGCCTTGCACCGTAGTTGCCGAAGAATGGAGTCATCGACTGAGACTGATTGCCCAAAACGTGTTCTTAGGCTACCAAGACAACATTCGTTGCATACAATATCATTCAGTGGTCAAGGTCAAGGTCAGGTCAGGTCAGGTCAGGTCACCAAAAAACAAAATATGGAAAAGGGCATGTGCGACACATGTTTTATGGGTCATTTTACTCATAGAATTCAATAGGCACACTCAATAAGTGATATGGACCACCTCTGGATGAATTTCAGGTCGAGGTCAGGTCAAGGTCAGGTCAAGTGAGGTCAAACTTTGATGTTGGTTGTTAAGGCCTAAAAAGGTGTCTATCTGATGCAGTTTTTCACGGCAAATCGAATGGTGCTATCTTTGTTTCCGTACGAGGTCTAGAACTTCCAAAAAAAATCATTTTTCAAAAATTTTGTGTGTCGTGACGTCATAAAATCTTGAATTACTCCCACATTTTGAACCGATTCTTCTAAAAATTGGTGTGTAGGTGCACATAGACCACTTCACTGACATACATTCCGGTTTTTTCGACACACTCAAAATTTTGGATTTTATAATTATTTTCCCAAAAAAGTCAGTTTTTTTAAGAAAAAAATTTGGGCCAAAATCCAAAATGTTCAAAAAAACCGAGATAGCCATTTGATAGACAAAGTAGAATTACGTATAACCTTTTTGTTGCGTCTTGATTCCTTTAAAAATGAAGATGTTAGCGGCGTTTGAACTTTTGCCGTTTTTGAGGCGAAAATGGGTAACATGACGTCACTAAAACGTTAATTTCTCAAAAAATTTCCGACGGATTTCGCTCAAATTTTCAGGGAACGTGTCAAATTGATGTAAGAAAAGGTACTGAAAGTTTGGCGGCGCTGCGCGCCGCCGTTTTTGACATATTGCAAAAATTCGCGAGGGGGGTAAAATTTACCCCCCAGCCCCGCGCGGGTTAAGATCCGTTAATTCTCTCATCAATAGGCACAGGTATGCGAAGTTCAGGCGAAATGTTATACAGCAATATATGCCCGTTTCAAACCGAGTTTTTAATTAGGTGCTTATCAACAGCAATGCCTACACTAAAGAATAACAGATCCGTTCCAGAAGGTCTAGTTTTCTGTGAATATAACTGATACCGCAAATGGGAAAGCAAGCTTTTCGATGCACGCATGAGATTCATTTTACGTTTACTCTAAACGGCTACTATCAAATCAGTCACAAAAATTTGGTCGCTGAAAGCGTTCAGTGATGCATGCCGGGTCGATATTTCCCGGTACGCTTTCGTTCCCGGTCTGCTGTATGTACCGCCGGCCGTCCGTGCCTGGACCGGTCACGGTCGCGGCCGGCGTCAATAGCCGACACTGGCCGCCGCGCCGAGCCGACAGCAGGCACGTGAGAAGTGGTCTATTGTGTTCCCACGGACGGCTAGCTCCGAAATTCACCGAAATAGGCGCCCGAACATCGATTATTAGAAATTCAGGTCGACTTCGAAAACGCTATCAGGCAAAGTGTGATGACCTGACACTGGTTCTTCATTAGGTTCTTCAAAAGTTCAGGTGAAAGGCTAGTTAAGTGGTTAACTCTTGCTTGTTTTTGCCAACCGATGAAATTCTTATCAAGAAACAACTGAATTTGAGGTCAGACAAGCTTTGCAAATATCAAGAGTCAGGAGAGCCAGATAGGAGAGTGTATGAACACTGTATCGTGTTTAGCGATAACCGAGTTATATCGCACTGTTGCATTCATAATGTCAGGCGAGTCGATTATACCTACTTTTATAATTTCTTTACTTCAGCTTAGCTCGAATTTAAAATGAACTGATTGATGGATTCAGAATTAGCGCATGACCAGGCGATCAGAACATTCCCGGGAGGTATGAACTGAGAACCATATACTGGCGCGCCGGTCGCAGGACCATTTGACACCCATGTCGCCAGGACCTTCAGCCGTTCTTACAGGCGATAGGACCGTCAGCCATCCTAACAGGCGATAGGACCGTCAGCCATCCTAATAGGCGATAGGACCGTCAGCCGTCCTATAGGCGATAGGGCCGTCAGCCGTCCTACAGGCGGTAGGACCGTCAGCCGTCCTAATAAGCGATAGGACCGTCAGCCGTCCTACAGGGTAGGACCGTCAGCCGTCCTAACAGGTGGCAGGACCTTCACCCGTCCTAACAGGCGATAGGACCGTCAGCCGTCCCACAGGGCATAGGACCGTCAGCCGTCCCACAGGCGATAGGACCGTCAGCCGTCCCACAGGGCATAGAACCGTCAGCCGTCCTAATAGGCGATAGGACCGTCAGACGTCCTAATAGGCCATAGGACCTTCAGCTGTCCAACAGGGCATAGGACCGTCAGCCGTCCCACAGGCCATAGGACTGTCAGCCGTCCCAATAGGCTATAGGGCCGTCAGCCGTCCTAACAGGCGGTAGGACCGTCAGCCGTCCCACAGGTGGTAGGACCGTCAGCTATCCTAACAGGCGGTAGGGCCGTCAGTCGTCCCACAGGTGGTAGGACCGTCAGCCGTCCAACAGGCGATACGACCGTCAGCCATCCTAACAGGCGATAGGGCCGTCAGCTATCCTAACAGGCGATAGGACCGTCAGCCATTCTATAGGTGGTAGGACCGTCAGCCGTCAAACAGGCGATAGGACCGTCAGTCGTCCCACAGGGCATAGGACCGTCAGTCGTCCCACAGGGCATTAGGACCGTCAGCCGTCCTACAGGCCATAGGACCGTCAGCCGTCCCACAGAGCATAGAACCGTCAGCCGTCCCAACAGGCGGTAGGGCCGTCAGCCGTCCCAACAGGCGATAGGACCTTCAGTCGTCCTAACAGGCGGTAGGAGCGTCTGACACTCCCGTCGCCCGTCCGCACCCGGCACCTCGACCGCTGTGGGGCGGTTGGACGGGAGGCCGACGCCGGGCGTCAGCTGGCCTGCGACACCCACCCACCCTCCGGCTCACTTATAAAGCTCATTGACGGCCCATAGCGGTCCGTGGTGGCCCATTATAGGCCCATAGCGGCCAGATATGTGTCGCTGACGGTTCACAGTGGCTGGCTATGTGACGGTGTATGGCCACTGACTTGATGAAGCGACGCATAGAAACACTGCAACTGGGGCGGTTCATCACAGATCTTGTAAGGCAGTCAGCCTATAGTTATCACCCAGCCGGTCAGGAGTGAATCCTCAGCCCGATTTGGAGCAATACCGGATTGAGGAATACGACAATTGGCGCGGCGTGATGACGATCGAACCTTCATTTTCAGCGAGACGGCCTCGATCGGTAATATTGGCGGCTCATCTTGGTATGGCACCACTGTGAGGGTGAGGATTATGTTGTTCGAAATCCGATCAGTGATCCCATCAGTGAATGGAGTGTTTCTGTTTTAGACTTCCGGTGTTTCGCACAAGATCACGCCACAGTTTATACGTATGTCAGTGGCCTTAATTCACGCATCTCCTCACCACGCGACACTAATCGCAAGATTGCCAGTGCGGAACGGTACCCAGTGAACCACTTTGGAAATATCACAGCCGCCGGCGGTGTCACAAAAATACACGGCTCGAACCAGTCCCTGGCAGTGCTGTGTCACCGACCTGCGCTGTGAACGGGTAGGCCGCCGGTCCGCCCTGGTCCGGTCCGGTCCGCCCTGGTCCGGTCCGGTCCGCCCTGGTCCGGTCCGGACCGCCCACGGTCCGCCCTGGTCCGGTCCGGCGAGTACGGGTCCCCGGGCCAACGACTGGGCCGTCTAACATGGACCGGTGCTATGATCCGATCAGTCCAATTAACGGACCATAGCGTCGGTCCTATCGGTACACCAGGCCAGACCGGGATCGTGGATTTAGCAAGTGCGAATCCCACGTAGATATTTAGAAAAACACATATCCATTGGCAGTTATGTAACGCTATAGTCCCAAAATGGACACCTTCCGAAGTAAATATTCAACAGACGATGCTGACAGCTTTCCTCTCTTTTCAGGCTCCTCCGGTGCAGACGATGAGTTACCGGCCGAATGGCGGCTCAGGCCACCCGAACGGACATCAGAACGGACACCAAAACGGACATCAAAACGGACACCAGAACGGGCACCACAACGGACACCAGAACGGCCACCAGAACGGACATGGCCCCTCCGGTCAGTCCTCCTGGAAGAGCAACTACGTGCCAGCCTATAGCAACGGAAAGGACCACGCCCTGGTAGGTAGTGGCCCTAGTGAGTGAAGTTTGAAATATCCCCGAGGATATTGTCCAGTTTAACTGGTGCGATACATCTGTGATATGACTCGTCTCCAGATTGATATCATTCAGCATCTTTACAAAGAGGTAGGGATAACTGCTATATCTCTCATACCATTCATACACATTGGACCTTTTCAATGCGAAGTCTTGTGGCGATTGGTTGCAACCATAAGGTCAGCGTGCTATTTCAGTGTTCCCGCAGTGGTCGGTCAAGAGTCACGACGACTAATAAGGCACACGGTGCAGTCCGGTAAAAATGCTCAGTTTCTACGTACTGTTTGTATGAACTCATCGGACTTGGTCATCGTGCAGCTGCGCAGGGTCCAAAGCCACAGCATTTTTACACAAGTTTGGGCGATTCGTTGCACACGCGCCAGTCGCAGCTAGTGAGGACTGAGGACAACAGCCTTTTTCTTTGACTACAGCTCATGCCCACTCACCGGATGTTCGCAGATGTTCCCAAAAATAACCTATTGCTTATAGTCATGTTTTATGAAGTTATTTGTGTTTTATGTGACATATTTCATTAACCAGATCTGTTAATGAAATGATTGGCCTTTGACAAATTTGTCTTTGTCTTTGTCCAGCCCCCGGAGCCGCTGGCCGTCGAGCCGAAGGCGGACGTCACTCAGACCCACGACCGTGGCCAGTGGGGCTCCAAGTGGGAGTTCATATTCTCCTGCATCGGCCTGTCGGTGGGCATCGGCAACGTCTGGCGGTTCCCCTACCTGGCCTACGAGAACGGCGGCGGTGAGTAAGGCGGCTCCCCTTATACCTGGCGTACGATAGCGGCAGTTCCCCCTTTACCTGGCATACCAGAGCGGTGGCGGTTCCCCTACCTGGCCCACGAGAACGGCGGCGGTGAGTGCGCCGGGACGGACTGAAGGAAAGGAAAGGAGATGGGGCGAGAGAGGGAGTGGAGATAAAAAAGGATGGGCAGTAAGTCTAAGTGGAGAGTTGGAGAAATAGTGAGAAATGACAGAGAGAGAGAGAGAGAGAGAGAGAGAGAGAGAGAGAGAGAGAGAGAGAGAGAAATAGTGAGAAATGAGAGAGAGAGAGAGAGAGAGAGAGAGAGAGAGAGAGAGAGAGAGAGAGAGAGAGAGAGAGAGAGAGAGAGAGAGAGAGAGAGAGAGAGAGAGAGAGAGAGAGAGAGAGAGAGAGAGAGACATACAGAGACAGAGACAGAGAGGAATGTGAGGAAAGGAGGTCAGGGGAAGCAGAAGAGAAGAAAACATTGCCGCTAAGTCGTGGGTGCGTGATTAATGTTCTCCAAGCCGTTATTGGTGCGCGTGTAGATATAAATAAAGTGGGTTAATGGGATTAAATCTTATCAAGTAAGGCGTAACCAAGAATGTAGGTAGGTATTTGATAGCAAAAAAAAAACACTTTCTTTAATACGGGCTCGGGTATACAGGGTATACACTATACAGACCCACCAAGTCACCACACTCCTGTTACACCGCTGCAGCGTCCCGCGGCGGTGCCGTCCCCTGTTCCCCTCGGCCGCCCCCGCACCCCCCCCCCCCGTGTCCGCCGGCATCGCCGTAACGTTCTCAGAGCCGTGGGAACGCGCGCCGGTAAAAAGGAGAAATCTCGTTACACCTTGGTGAACCTCGGCGGCCGCCGCACAGCACCAAATGGCCGCGGTTCGGCTACCCTGGACCGTGCCGCGGCCGGTGGTTAGTTCCGGTACACGTTAAACAGACGCCGTGGTTACCAAACTAGCCGCCTTGTTATTCACTCACGATGCCAGGTACGCATTTTTATTGAAGCAGTATATCCGGTATGCCGTCAACAAGCAAATGTCATTGGCATTGGCTGTTTCTGTTGTGCAGTGTAAGGACGCAAAGCACTAAGCAGTACAAGACTTAGTCAACATGGAAATTCATTTACGAGGCTTTTTTACTATCAGAAGATTTTCTGGATGCTGTCGTCCTTGCCATTGGCATGTCTTGTGGTTCTTACCGATTTGTCAATCGTATTGTAGAACCGACCTTTTACTTACTGTGAATTTCCGACACCAAAAACTAAATACAACAACTCCTGATGCCGGTGCGGTTCCCCTCCGATACTGGGCTCGCTATCCGTCAGTACCGATGTGTGGGAGGGCCGCCGGGCCGGCCCAGGGTCGGCCGGTGGGCCATAAACATCCCCTGTACCCACCCGCCACTGCCGTCTCCAAACTCGGCGGCCTTGTCAAACGCCGGCTCACGAGAACCGCAGCCGTTTATGACATTTCCAGCGGACGGCCAGTCACGCCACAGTGTGCAGAACCTTCACTGTCGCTATATTGGCCTAAGTCACAAAGTGATAATTCAAGGAGAAAGAACATTTCGAGGAAAACAAATTAAGAACCCGGATGATATTCACCAAAGGGGACTTCAATTCTGAGGGGACGTTCCTGATACCGCACTTCCTGATACCGACAGGCGTAAGTGTCTGAACCCCCCACCCCACCCCCGCGCTTCTCTCCGTCAACAGGCGCGTTCATGATACCCGTACATCATCATCTTGTCTCTGGTGGAGAGGCACCTGAAGTTGCGATCGTATACAGTGTCTGACCGCCCCCCCCCCCCCCCCATCGACAGGTGCCTTCCTGATTCCGTACATCATCATTCTGTTTCTGGTGGGGAAGCCGATGTACCTGATGGAGACGGCCATCGGCCAGTACAGCCAGCTCGGACCCGTCTCCATGTGGAAGATGGCGCCCGTCATGAAAGGTGAGTCGCCCAGTCACGCCGAGTCATCGAGTCACCGAGTGGAACGAGAGGTCATCAAATGTGAGACCTGCCAAGCTACACTGAGTCCTCGACCTCGTGTCATTGCTCCCAGAGCAGCACACTCTCCATACACTACAGAGAGAGAGGTACTGTCGCGGATGTAATCAGTCGTCTGCAGCAATATGTAGCAATGAAGCTGTGAGACAATGTATATTGCTCGGTTCAATTCGAGTGCTCGTTACGTCCATGTACGGATTTGATTGTTTGGTCCAAACCAGCGATCATTAACACAAAATGGTCTAATCCGTTGTCACGTCTTGCAAGTCCAGGAAATTTGGCAGGCGAGCGTGCAAGCGTGAACCTGATTGACATTTAACTTGAGCTAGTTTCGCCGCGGAGGGATAACCAACCACACCAATCCAGAGCAGACGCACGGCCTCTCGGACAGACCCTGTCGCCTGGGTAAATGACTGACTCTGGAGCGCCGCTGCCCTGCGCCGGGTTCCCTTCCCACCCTCCCACTCTGCCGGACGGCGGCAGCCGGGGTTTCACTGTCGCGTGGGAGCGCGGTGCGGCCGCTCACGGGGCGTTACGGTCGTCACGAACCGTGACGGTGGCCGCCACCGCCGAGTAGGACCGTCCGTCACTGCCCGACGGTGACCAGGCGGTGACCGGACCGGTGAACCGCGACCACTCGCTATGAGCGAGTCAGTCTGAGTGACGTTATAACGAATAATCAGCAGCCAGACGAGTTAGCGTAGACTGACTTTGAGTCGTGAGTACCAAGATCTGACGGGCTCCAAAACATGAAATTCACAATTGTATTTCAGGGCAGCAGCTTTAGGCAGGAAGATTTCAACACCAGACAGCAGCTTCACCTCAGGATGTTTGACTCTCATCTTGTGGTGGCTTTGGCAAGCGTATGGGTAAATCATGATTAGATCAAATTAATTGGTGCAGAAGCTAGCTGACCACATAACTGAGCACTCGCAGTCTGCAGAATGCTCTATTTTTTTCTTAGATTGCAGCCTGAAAATTGTACAAGGCTAGAACTGTGTCAATGTGTAGGGGAAGGAGGGTGAATTGCGCCACCTTAAGCAAAAACGCTAATTGTAAGAAAACCACTGGAGATGTAGGTAAGCATGCACTGGTAACCATTTTAAAGAGGAACTCTTTGGCTACGATTTAAGAGCCTCCCGATCAATTAAGAATGTTTCATTTGCTTCTGACAGCTGCTTTTCAGAAACATGCAAAAGGGCGCATTTACCAACAACTGCTGTAAATTGCGCCAGGGGGATGGCGCAATTAGAATCCAATTGCGCCCTATCTTTTAACCCGCGCGCCAACTTCGCACCGACGGGGGGGGGGCGGATGACCGCCCCCCTCCCTGAGATCTCGAGAACGAAGCAAGATAGCGACAAGCGGTAAACGGCATCGGATACGCACGGCCAAGATCTACAATTTTTACAAAGGTCATTTTCAGGTCAGGTCAAAGATGACGTCACAGGGGTCGAAAAAGTCAAAATGGCGGCGCTAGATATGGAGAGAGTTTTTCTCGAATAACTTTCGAATTAGTCAAGATAGGAACAAACTAAGGGCATCATCGTGATCCTCTCGTCAATCCGCATCGAATGATATATATGTTGACCTCGAAAGGTCAAGGTCAAAGGTTGACCTCAGGTCACGTGACCTCGAGGTCATCATGTATATCATTCGATGCGTCTTGACGAGCTGAACACAATGAGACCATCCACGCGTCTGTATCTTGTTCCTGTACGGAGTTATTGGCCAAAAACCTTTGGTGACCTTTGATGACGTCACATGACCTCACAGCTGCCCAACAGCAAAACAGACCTCAAGGTAGTGAAGGTTGATCGTATATGAAGTCATGTATGGTATATGGGGCCATTCCGACCCGTTTTAGTGGTAAAAACAGGGAGTTGATTTTTCCCCCATTGACTTATAATGGGGAGGTCGCGAAATTGACCTGACCTTAGGTCACCGATATCAAAATTCCGAGATATACAAATTGTAGCTACTAATGACCTAATAATATCCTGCGACTTTCAAAGGCCTCCGACATCTACTGTAGCTCTGGCACGGTGACAAAGTTGCAAAAAAGTGACTTGAGGTTGGGTGATTCAAAGTGACCTGGTGACCTGACCTTAAAAGGTAGGAGGTTCAAACTTGCACACCATGTGTAAAATTGATGAGGTTATAGTCATACCAAATTTCGCGGCGCTACGCGCCGCGGTTTTCCCGCTATTCGCGAAAAACCTCAGGGGGGGCGGATATCCGCCCCCCCGTCGGTGCGCGGGTTAACATGGCTAAGCAAAGGAGACGGAATGCATACACTTCGGCATTCTATGTCATTGTGGCTTACTTGAGCATGTATTATGTGAATCAAGCTCAATACATAATAAATGTAGATATAAATTGCGATGTTTTTTACGCAGGTAAATAACTTTACTTGTGTCCGGTATGCTTGTGAAGTGGAACGAAAACGTTTAATGTAACCGACTAGATATATATGATCGTATGCGCCTAGACGGTTATATTTTCAATCGTTTCTCTCAAAATTAATATTTTTTTTTTGCTTTTGCTTCTACAACTTTTTTGACATCAGTTTTTACTTTGTATCATAGCTGTCACCTCTCACGCCTGTCCATGTTAAAAATGCCGTATTTTGTCAATTACACCGCAAGTTCATAGCCCAAATGGCAGCTACATTATAAGTTCGATAAGAGAAATAATTTTTGGACTGACGATGGCGGGTTGCTCCCCTGCCTGACATAAAACTCCTTCTTTATTGCAATCAGTTAATGATGCATTCATACTGTTCTGATACAATAGCTACACCATTATTCTATTTGCGCCCCCCTGGCGCAATTGCCATGGGCGCAATTAAAATTGAGGTACTTTTTAATAAAAGCGTAGAAGTTACCATAAAGATGCTGAAGGATGTTTACTGTTTCAGTGAAATATAATGAAAAAAGGATTTTTCTTTCCAAATATCATTCTCAAAATCACACACGTATCGCCTATTTTTATAGCCAACGGTTCAAAATGCTGCAAAAAAGTTAAGAAAACGCCGTAATATCTTTGATGGCGTAATGAGCCTTGCTAATTGGCTTCATCGGAGAGCTTGGGCCATAAAAGGAACTATCCAGTGGTGAAAATAATGTTTTCGAAAACAAAATGCTTAACATGCCATTCAATTCGTGGGAATGTGGGCGGGCGCAATAGGTTAGGAGGGCGCAATACACCCACTTTCCCCTAGTGGTTTGGACTTTTTATAACACATTTATGTCTATTTCGAGTAAACAATTGATAAAAAAAACCACGCGGTTCCTAGCTCGTTTCACCTTTTATCGCATTAAGAACGCAACAACGTCGTCTTAAAGTATCGTTATAAGATATATTGCAGATAAATTTCGCCTAAATGACCGGTTTATCGCCCCTATCCACAGTATCTCGGTTAAAAACAATCATGACCTACCTTTCTCGGCCATTTACTGCACACAGCAGCAATCTCCTCATCATCGCTACAAAAACGCGAGCTGTGGAGCGCCGCAGCACGCTTTCCGTTTCTAGCGCTGCGTACTCGGCGTCACGACGCGCCACTCTCGTCTCACGCCAGGGCGCGTCACGCGCCGCCCGCAGAGCGCCGTAAACGTATTTGTCGCGCCGTGATCTTGTTTGTCGCACGCTGGTCTTGGTCCGGGCTGTCTGCCACCAAGGTTCTGTCTGCCCCGGCGCGGCCGGTCCGGGCTGTCTGCCACCAGGATTCTGTCTGCCCCGGCGCGGCCGAGGATGGGCCTTGTGGGTGGCCGTCACCGCGAGCAATGTGATTATGTTCAGTGCAACCGTGCTGTGGGCACTGGCGGTCGCAGGGGGGGGGGGCACGGGGGCCATGCCCCCCCCCCCCTTTGGTACTGAAAGGTGGGGCCATACTATCTTTTGGCCCCACCTTTCAGATCGAACAAAAGTCCTAGAAAAGCTTTTCGTATGTTTCATTTTCTTTCTTGCGCCATCAAAGGACGTAAATTTCACTCATGAGTGGGCTCAGTTTCGCATTCTGTCAATTTGGCGGTCAGCGTCGCTGGCACCGGTTCACGAGTATGGCCGGATCTTATATGGAATATCAGCGTGGGTTTACTTAAGGCTCTCGTAGGCCCAGCATTCAGCAATGGCTGGCATGAGACCCTCTTCGGCAGTGGCGGGTGGGCCCTGCTAAAGGAGATTGGCTCCAAGACACTAAAGTAAGACCTCATGGGTTGGTGCTGTGCACCTCAGAAGTCCGGTGGCGATGCCGTATGCCGGCTTGGTTTCTTAAGGATTAGCGTGGGACCTTCGGGGCCTCAGCATAGAGTTTGCATGAGCTAGTATGTAATCTCAGAGGCATGTGTGTAATGTGTACAGTCACAGTGGCGGTCGCGGGGGGCCGGGGGGCATCAGGGCCATGCCCCCAAAGGTCAATAAAGGGGGCCATCATATCATTTGACCCCCCCCCCCTCAATCAACCAATGGGCCCCCATATAGGTGTATGGGGCCCTGGCAATTATTCGATCGTCACGAGGCTAAAAAAAAAAAACCACGCCAAGCTATTAATATAGCTCCCACACCGGTCTTTGAGCGTCCTACACTGACCTTTGAGGGAACTTCAGTGGCGGTCAAGCGCCCACGTTGCTAGCATGCTAGCATGCATATTGAAACTGCAACAATCTCATATTTCTCGCTAATAAACGTCCTACATTGACCTTTGAGGGAACTTCAGTGGCGGTCAAGCGCCCACGTTGCTAGCAATGTCTACGATACTCACCAATCGCGTTCCTTATGTTTCCTTATGTTGCCCACGTTGACCGCTAAGAGCCTACATCAACCTCTGAGGCCCCACATCTGGCCTATGAGGGCCCCTAACCGGCCTCAGGGATCCCAACCGGCGTCTGAGGGTCTCACACCGGTCTCTGGTGGCCTTATTTCTGTCTCTGGTGTCCCAA